GGGGGGACGAGTGGAGATGCTCTAAGCTTTTCCTGCGCACAATCGAAAGCCCATACTAATCCCCTAGTATTGAAGATTGGCATGCCACTCCATTCATCTGTTTTTTATTCACGTGTTTTAGGAATCTTGCGAACGAAAGAGGCCTTAAATGAAGTTCAATATACTTAGCAATTGGATGCTAGTACAAATTTGCGATTAAACTATTACATGGCGGACTATATTTGCTAATGAGGTTCATCGATCAACATCTACATCCACATACATGATTATAGATGCCTCGTGCAGTAAATCAACCTAGTACAACGACGAAGACAAAGCTTGTGAAGCCCTCATGCCTCAGCCATGGGCAGCGAGAGCCTTCTTCCATATTCTCATGTTTAGCCTACTTGTTTGTATAGTCTAATTTTGGCTCCTCGTCGTGTCTTTCATATGTTAGTTTTGGTTTTACCCGCGTTCGACTCCATCACCCCACCTTGCGCATATTCCAAGTCCAATTGTAGCCCCATGCACATACTGGACACTAATTTGATCAAACATCACCTTAGCGAACATGTCGTTTTCACGTGAACGCATGTGCATGTTTGAACCTGGGGTATTCCTTTGTTGCTCACTTGCATGAGCTGGCTGCCAAGTCCTCATTCTCATACTTATCAGCATCGATTAAAAGATGTCACCACACCTAGCTTCTCATCGGATGCACCTGCAACTATGGTTGCTACATAATGTTATTGGTCCTTGTTCCCTTCATCACGAGCATTTTTTGTTCCTTATAGACTCTTAGTTTCCTTGTTTCTGTCCACTTTGTAGACATTAGATTTATTCGAATCCTTGCCACGAGTCTAACATTCTCGAGCACATGTACAACACCACCTTCAAGTCTTGATCTTAACTTAACGTCTCCAATGCCAAATAAATTCTATAAAATCATTTGAATAAAAGAGCCCCTAGATCTACGAATAATTGTCATCCAAGCTGGGAAGATCACAACCAACGAGACAAATACACGCCCAAAAGATCTAACCTTGGTGTAGCAAGGGTTCCATTTGATGGGCTAGTTTGCTCTACACATGAGTGTGGCGTTCCTTCTTGTTTTTTATGTGTTCTGTTCTAGGAGCGAGGCTAATGCCAGGTACCCACCACACGATTCTACAGAGTTTACTTCCAAATGTATTAAAAGGCCATTGAGACATGAGACGTGCAATAACCACAATGCCCTATTCCCTTTCACCTTAGATGCAAAGGAAATAACAATAGGGGAATCGCAAATTCCAATAGTTTTGTTAAAAGCTTGGCATTGAGGACAGTATAGCTTTCAAATAGCACAGATGAACTTTCAGAAATATTATGATGAACTTGTAGAAATTTATAATTAACATTTACACAACTTTACTGCCTACATTATTAAATAACATCTTTAAAATTACGATGAACTTTATGAGAGTCCAAAAGTTAGTTAATTTTCAGAAATTATCAGAAAACTCACTGAGGATTACATCATCGACTAATATATGGACTTTTGAAATATATAACATGAATGATCGGAAAATCAAAATAGAAAAAGATGCAACTAACCTCTCCCCTAGCTTGTCCAACAACTACAAGTACGAAATGGTTGTCGACCCCCTTGAGCGCGACCAAACCTAACATATTTATCCATGTAATTCTCTTTATTGTGGCAAGAATATTCAAATCCATAAGATTCAAAACAAAAGTTTAATATTGACATAAAGATAATAATACTTCAAGCATACTAACAAAGTAATTATGTCCTCTCAAAATAACATGGCCAAAGAAAGTTCATCCCTACAAAATCATATAGTTTGGTCATGATCCATCGTCATCACACAAAATACTCAAATCATGCACAACCCCGATGACAAGCCAAGCAATTGCTTCATACTTTAGTAATCTCAAACTTTTTCAACTTTCACGCAATACATGAGCGTGAGCTATGGACATAGCACTATAGGTGGAATAGAGTGGTGGTTGTGGAGAAGACAAAAAGGAGGAAGATGGTCTCACATCAACTAGGCGTATCAATGGGCTATGGAGATGTCCATCAATAGATATCAATGTGAGTGAGTAGGGATTGACATGCAACGGATGCACTAGAGCTATAAATATATGAAAGCTCAACAAAAGAAACTAAGTGAGTGTGCATCCAACTTGCTTGCTCACGAAGACCTAGGGCATTTGAGGAAGCCCATCGTTGGAATATACAAGTCAAGTTCTATAATGAAAAATTCCCACTAGTATATGAAAGTGACAACATAGGAGACTCTCTATCATGAAGATCATGGTGCTACTTTGAAGCACAAGTGTGGTAAAAGGATAGTAGCATTGCCCCTTCTCTCTTTTTCTCTTTTTTTTGTTTTTTTGGGGAGGGGGGGCTTCTCTCTCTTTTTTCGGCCTTTCTCCTTTTTTTATTTCCTCACATGGGACAATGCTCTAATAATGAAGATCATCACACTTTTATTTCCTTACAACTCAAGAATTACAACTCGATACTTAGAACAAAATATGACTCTATATGAAAGCCTCCGACGGTGTACCGGGATGTGTAATGAATCAAGAGTGACATGTATGAAAGAATTATGATCGATGGCTTTGCCACAAATACAACTCAACTACATGATCATGCAAAGCAATATGACAATGATGAAGCGTGTCATAATAAACGAAACAGTGGAAAGTTGCATGGCAATATATCTCGGAATGTCTATGGAAATGCCATAATAGGTAGGTATGGTGGCTGTTTTGAGAAAGGTAAATGGTGGGTTTATGGTACCGGCGAAAGTTGCACAGTACTAGAGAGGCTAACAATGGTGGAAGGGTGAGAGTGCGTATAATCCATGAACTCAACATTAGTCATAAAGTACTCACATACTTATTGAAAAAATCTACAAGTCATCAAAACCAAGCACTACGCGCATGCTCCTAGGGGGATAGATTGGTAGGAAAAGACCATCGCTCATCCCCGGCCGCCACTCATAAGGAAGACAATCAAAGAAATACCTCATGCTTCAAATTTGTTACACAACGGTTACCATACGTGCATGCTACGGTACTTGCAAACCTCAACACAAGTATTTCTCAAATTCACAATTACTCAACTAGCATGACTCTAATATCACCATCCTCATGTCTCAAAACAATCATCAAGTATCAAACTTCTCCTACTATTCAATGCACTTTATATGAAAGTTTTTATTATACCCATCTTTGGATGCCCATCATATTAGGACTAATTTTATAACCAAAGCAAATTACCATGTTGTTCTTTAAAAGACTCTCAAAATAATATAAGTTAAGCATGAGAGATCAATAATTTCTATAAAATAAAACCACCATCTTGCTCTAAAAATATATAAGTGAAGCACTAGAGCAAAATTATCTAGCTCAAAATATATAAGTGAAGCTCAATGAATAGTTGAATAATTATGTATCTATGCGAAGACTCTCTAACATTTAAGAATTTCAGAT